TATCATCCAGGCAGGAAAAACACTGAGATCCAGGCAGAAAAAATACTCTCATCCAGGCAAAAAAAAAAAACCCGAAAAAAACAACAAAAAAAAACAACAACTATCATACAGTCAAGAAAAATGCTATGATCCAGGCAGAGAAAACACTAAAATACAGGCAGGTTAAACACTCAAGATCCAGACAGGAAAAATCATTTGATCCAGGCAAGAAAATCACTAAGATCCAGGCAGGAAAAATACTATGATCCAGGCAGGAAAAACACTATGATCCAGGCAGGAAAAACACTTTCATCCAGGCAGGAAAAACACTTTCATCCAGGCAGGAAAAACACTGTCATCCAGACGGGAAAACACTATCATTCAAGCAGGAAAAACACTTAAGATCCAGACAAGAAAAACACTATCATCCAGGTAGGAAAAACACTATCATCCAGGCATGAAAGACATTATTATCCAGGCAGGTAAAACACTGTCATCCAGGCAAGAAAAACACTGAAATCCAGGCAGGAAAAACTATCACCCAAGTAGGAAAAACACTATAATCCAGACAGAAAAAACACTTGTCATCCAGGCAGGAAAAATATTTGTAAACCAGGCAGGAAAAATACTAAGATCCATACAGGGAAAACGGTAAGATCCAGACAGGAAAAAACACAATCATCCAGGCAAGAAAAACACTCAAAATCTAGATAGGAAAAATACTTTGATCCAGGCAGGAAAAACACTCAAGATCCAGACAGGAAAATACTTTGATCCAGGCAGGAAAAACACTATGACCCAGAGAGGAAAGCACTAAAATTCAGGCAGGACAAATACTAAGGTCCAGGCAGGAAAAATACTGTCATCCAGATAGGAAAAACACTATCATCCAGGCAAGAAATCACTGAGATCCAGGCAGGAAAAACATTATCATACAGGCAAGAAAAACTCTATGATCCAAGCAGGAAAAATACTATGCTCTTGTCAAGAAAATCACTAATCCATACAGGAAAAATACTATGATCCAGTCAGGAAAAACACTATGATCCAGGCAGGAAAATACTTTCATCCAGGCAAGAAAAACACTAAAATCCAGACAGGACAAATACTTTTTTCATTCAACCTTTAGTTATACAGGTTCAATGAAACATATTTGTCCTGCCTGGGTTTTAGTGTTTTTCTTGCCTGGATGATAGTGTTAACTTAATACTAAGGTCCAGACAGGAAAAACACCGTCATCCAGACGGGAAAACACCATCATCCAAGCAGGAAAAACACTAAGATCCAGACAAGAAAAACACTATCATCCAGGTAGGAAAAACACTATCATCCAGGCATGAAAGACATTATTATCCAGGCAGGTAAAACACTGTCATCCAGGCAAGAAAAACACTGAAATCCAGGCAGGAAAAACTATCACCCAGGCAGGAAAAACACTATAATCCAGATAGGAAAAATACTGTCATCCAAGCAGGATACAAAACACATACAAAATACAAAGATCCTGGCAGGAAAAACACTATTATCCAGACAGGAAAAACGCTGAGATCCAGGCAGGAAAAACACCATCATCCAGGCAGGGAAAATATTTGTAAAACAGGCAGGCAAAATACTAAGATCCAGACAGGAAAAACGGTACGATCCAGACAGGAAAAAACACGATCATCTAGGCAAGAAAAACACTGAGATCCAGGCAGGAAAAACACTATAGTCCAGGTAGGAAAAACACTGTCATCCAAGCAGGAAAAATACGAAGATCCTGGCAGGAAAACACTATGATCCAGGCAGGAAAAACACTGAGATCCAGGCAGGAAAAACACTATAATCCAGACAGGAAAAACACTGAGATCCAGGCAGGAAAAACACTATCATCCAGGTAGGAAAAATACTAACATCCAGACAGGAAAAACAGCAAGATCCAGACAGGAAAAAACACTATCATCCAGGCAAGAAAAACACTGAGATACGGGCAGGAATAACAGTTTTCCCTGCCTGGATGATAGTGTCACCCAGACAGTACAAAACTGCACAAACTATCACAATATAAACACTATTATCCAGGCAGGAAAAAACACTGTGATCCAGGCAGTAAAAGCACTATGATCCAGGCAATAAAAACACTATGGTCCAGGCATTAGAAGCACTATGATGCAAGCAATAAAAACACTGTGATCCAGATAATAAAAACACTATGATCCAGGCAGTAAAAGCACTATGATCCAGGCAATAAAAACACTATGGTCCAGATAATAAAAACTCTATGGTCCAAGCAGTAAAAACGCTATGATCCAGACAATAAAAACATTATGATCCAGGGCTGTGATATACCTGTGGTTGTGAACACCTCCACCTCTGCAGCAGCACAAACTCCAACATACTTTCTTGTTATATTATGTTACATATATTTGTGTATTAATATAATTCTTGTTATTTGTGTATTATGTTGCTGACTAATGACAACAAAGTCATGCTTATTAAGTTTGAGTGTTAGTTTAAAGTTCTTCTGTTATTCAGTCCACTGAGTGAACGTGACACCATTTTTACGACCTGCTTTCAGAGCCGTAACAACTCCTCGTGTGTTAGTTGCTTTGGATTAAAAGTGTGTAACACAACAAACATGCACTCGCACAAAGGAAGTGGGGTGTTTACTGACACTGCATCTTCACAAACGATGCATAGATAAACATCTGACGTGTCTCACGTCTGCAGTGGGACTGAAGCAGGAGAGAGAACTGTACCGTTCTGTTTGGAGACTGAAGCTCTGTGAGCAGTAAAGAGGATTGGACCTCATGCAGTTCTAGAGGTAGCTGAAGGTCTAATCTCTGTGCACGTTCTGACCTCTGTGCTCACAATCAGGTGGGCTGAATCGACGAGTGGTTATAAACGTGAGCACCAACATACATCCGGTTTTGATTTGTTTGTTTGCGTTTTGCTTTTACCTGGTGTCTTGTTCTTTTTTAAACTCTGTGGTTTCAAGTCGCCTGAGCCAAAACCAAGAGGTTACATAAAAACCACTGCAGACCTCTGAATGGTTCGAAAATATCTTTATTTGTGAGCACATCGACGGCGTTGCTAAAACTAAATGTTCACACAGAGGAAGTATTTTGGAGGTAGTTTACAAATCGGCACAGATTAATAAAGATAAGATAAGAAAGAACTTTATTGATCTCGCAATTTGCAAAAGTGTCCCAGCATTAAAACTTGCAAAGCTTTTTCCATTTCACTAAAACTGAACCTTTTTCTACTGAAAAGACTTTCCCCCCTGATCTTTAGACTTAAAAACTATAAAAATTATGAAATAAAACTATTTATCGTTTGACACTGTTGGTCCATGCTGGTAATCCTTGTAGCATGGTTTGTGGTTAATGACGTTTGAATCATACAGATAATCTAACAGCACCACACAAACATTTACTGCAAACTCGGGCTTTTCAATGTCAAAACTGTCCTAAAAATCTAATGAAAATGTAAAAATGTAAGATTTTGATAAATATGGAATTTAAATGTAAAAATGTGAACTCGGTGTTTCCAATCCAAGCGATTTTAGATTATGCACTTAGACCTAATTTCAATCTGATACTTTCATTTCTCCAGAACACAGTGAACTTCAAGGTCAAATAACATCAATTAATGAATGAATAAGTCGGTGCTCAGGTGTAGCTTGTGTGTGTGCTGCTGTAAGTTTCTGCTGAAGGATTGATTCATGCACTTCTTTTTAAAACTGTCTCCCTTTAACACACAACAATGTGGACAAGCAGCTTGTGTGGCCGCTGTGCGTTTAGCATTTTAATCGCCTGCTTTGCATGTCTGCTGGAAGAAAGCCACAGACCTGCTGAGCACGCAGTCCTGCTCAATTGTTTGTTAAATCACTAGTTAATCTTTAGAGTCTAAGTATTGATGTGGACCAAATGTCACTTCCAGGTGTATAAACTGTAGAAACGATAATAGTGACCACGTGTCATAAGTACCTCTTGGGTACGAGGGAGTGTTTTTTGTTCAGGTTGTGTCCAGAACAGCTTCAGATGGGGACAAAATGACCCCCAAAGGGACACGTTTTACATTTTTCTTAGTCTTCTTGTTGTTTCAGAGTAAAACGAGTCTTTTCTGTTGCTACGTGCACCAAAGACATCCTCGTACTTTGGTTCTTTCCATGTGATTTTTGTGTTCTGTTCACAATGGAAAAAATGTTTGGGGTAGCTCCCTTGTTTTTAGTTTCCAATTGAGAACATTTAATAGAGAAATATAAAAATATTACCTCATTTAGACCATACGGTGTTAGCCATTCTATAAACGAAGGACAGTACCAGTGAAAAACGTGAACAAAAAGTAACTATAACTAATGTGCTTTTGTCTATTTGTGCTGTTTAATGTGCATGGCCTCGCAATAGAATAAAACTAGTCAAACCTAGCACTGAAAACTGATTCTGCAATAAAAGTAATTGTATTATTACTTAATGGTAAAAGCATATGATTGCCTCCTGCAGGGCTTGTTAGTCAGCGACAGATTAGCTAATGCATAG